CAGAAGGAAGCTAGCGAACGAAACTTGAAGGATTATAAAATAAAAGTTCTCGGAACGATTAATGCCAATTAGTCAGTTGTGTGTGAAATGAACATACGTTCTTCTGCTTTTGTTGTCGCTATTAATCCACCATCTTCCCATAACTCATCTGTTTTATAATCTGTGCCAATCTCCGCAGCTGAAATTAATACCACGACAAATGTGACAAAATTATTGAAAGAAGGAGGAATCCTTGAGATTTGGAATGGTTATTACTATTTATGGTTATCCTTGACTTATCAACAATAAGAAACTAAGTTTTTATTGTTTTGAATTTCTTCCTTCCAAAGAAATGAAGTAGTAAAGTGACTTTCGTCTGCCGCAAAGGTAAAGTCAATGTATTCGAACTAATACAGTTCCGCTAAAATTACTTCACCCATCAAATGCTGCTCTACGAGAAATCCCAAATGAAAAAGATGGAATGATGCAGAATGCAATATGTACATAGCTGATTTGTATTTTATTAGAAAGCAAATCAGAATCATAAAAAAGTGACATGCATAGCATACCTAGTACTCCATCTGCCACTCCTGCTGCTCGAGGTGCGGCCGGGGCGGCAGCCTGGCAATAGATGAAAAATGCAATATGTACTATTAACTTTGCCATATTTAAAGTTATCTGTGCAATAATTTCGATGTTTTCTAAAGACAAGTTTTACTTTATTGAAAAATAGCAGCCATTTTAAAAAGAGTCTTAGTTAAACGCTTAATGGTATTATTTGAAACATTAGAAATAAGAAGTGAGCAAGTGTCTTTTGGAACTTTTGGCATATGTAAAATATCTCTCAAATCCATTTCGTGTCATTCAGAAAAATAACAACCGCAAAAGACATCATTTAGTTTCAGTTTCCATTATTGAATTCAAGCTCTCACTTTATTTGACATAATAATGATCAAGTAAATGTCATTCGGCAGGGGGTACCGCTCCCAGGATAGGTACTAGGCATGTTAATCTTACAGTTTATTGTAATGTGGTAAATTTCTGAACAATATGTCATTCAGATAAATAGGTTCTGGAGCAGTATCGAGAAAGATCGACATTAGAGCAAAATTTTCACTGACAAACACAATATCTACGAACATTTTTTAAACACTAAAAGAAAAAAAGGATGCGGGATCATTAATGGTTGAAAACCTAACGACAGCGCGTTTTATACTTCCGCAACGGAATCTTGGACTATATCCTGCTCGATATTAGCGGATCAACGCTCAATTTTCCGCATTTCTAGAGTAGAACGGACGAAGAACTGATTTAGGCAGACTGATAAGAACACGGTTTTGAATATCCAGTTTTACCTTTCAGCGACAACAATGTATTATCACTCTTTTTATAGGAATTAACTGTGTTCAATAAATATGTTATCTTTGAACGTTCGAAACTAAATTCTGTTTTTCTTTAAAATTCTTGTAATTCAAATTGTGGAAATAC